ATCTCAGTACTACTGGGCAACCTGTATTTTATTTGCTCAATCTGTCAATGCTAAAGGAGAAGAGTCAGATTATATATTAATGACCTTCTGAGATGATGCAATGGGGCAGATCTGGCAAAATAATCAGATTGGCAAATAAAACAGAAGCTAGTGTCACAATAAAATTGTAGCAGTCTTACATTATACACTAATGGTGCCAAATAGATGTATTCATTTTCTAAGGCGAATGACATTGTGACTCAATTACTTGAATGACTTATCTGAAATGTCGTATTTCCACAAAGCAGTTTCTGGTGAGGGCTTAAGAAAAGGAACAAGAGACAATACAGCCTTGGTAGAGATACTTTTCTCCACTTTGACTCCATATCTCTTCACTCCTACGCACTCTCCTCCCTGAGCCCATAGGACAAAACAGATGATCTCTGGCTTGGAATAAGAGGCCATGAAATTGTGGAAGATTTGGTTTTTATTTCCAGTTTCGCTTATTGTTCTTATTGACCGCCTTGACATCTTCAGTGCTCATCAGAACCCTGCAACAGGCAGGGTGGTTAATTGACTCAATGCAGTTTTAAAAGATAGCTTTAGTTTCATACTCTAGGTATCTATGTGTCACATAGCCAATATCATTATTTTCAAAACTTTACCCAATTTTCATTGTGATTTGGGGTTTTACCAATGACTTATTTGGGACAAATTGCTTAATTCTTAAACATTTTGAAACTCTCTGGTAATCTCTGTGAAGACTGCAAAAATTTTCTTAAAGAGAATTTTATCCTTTGAAACTCATTCTTCTTCTTTATGACAAGGCTTATGTGTATGTCAACATTAGAAAATAGTCCAGATCCATTTTAAAGGGACTTTTTTCAGTAGCTCATGTTTGTTGTGTTCTACATGTATCCATGAAGTCAAATATCATACTAGTTTGTTAACACCTTTTAGATAATTACTGATCTTTTTGAGATTATACTGTTACCAGAAAAGTATTAGTTACCATAAAACTTATATAATTCTTTCTCACCATGATTGTATAGTTTTCTATTGATCTGCTTATTCTAATTTTTTTTAAATTTTTTGCTCTATGCCATTAGATTGTTACTGATGAATTATTAGCCCATCCTGTTAGATTGATTAACTGTCCCTGTTTAGCCAAATGTTTATTGTCTTAAACTCCATAATCCTGATATTTAAAAGTGATACTCAATTTCTTATAGATATGTTTTACATTATATTACATTCAATATTTTCCTACATGCATATTACCTCTGTTCTTACGTCCAACTGAATATTTTATAACTGCACTTCAGCTGTGATTTTTGGACTAAACTAATCCTGACAGGATTCAGTAGTTGGAGTCCTACAGCCTGAGCCACATTGCTCTCTAAATATCACAAGTCTGTTCTCTTTTCTCAGTCTCCATGTGCTCTCTAGCTCATCTCTGCTTCTACAGCAGTTAGTACAGTGGTAGGGATGAGGACTTTTAGTTCCAAATTTCTAGCTCATACCCCTCTAGCCATGCAGACTTACTCAGTTATCTGCCTGGACATCCCAATGAGTCCTACGACCCAAAATTAATTCTGTCATGAGTTGAGATTAATGTTTTACCTGAGATTTATTGCTTTCTGTTGGCTTAAAAATAACTAAATAAACATAAGAAGAACATAGCTCACACATTTAGTGCCTCATGTGATGCACTTAGCAGTCCAGAGAGGCAAAAAACTCTGCCTTTTCACAGATGGCAAGATTGACCCATTAAAGTAGCACCATGGTAACAGGTGCTAGCATTGTAATGGCTAAATAAGAAATTCTAAAAATCAACTTTAAACTTACTTTAATGTTTTGTTGAGTGACGCATTTTTAAAAAATACTGGATGTGTTTTTACGCTATGCTATATTTGAAGATACAAGTAATGCATACTAATCTGGAGAAATATAGTTATCAAAGAGGAAAAATAAAATTTATTCATAATTTTTTCTTGTATGGCTGGGTTTTAGTAGAAATGTCTTAAGATGCTATTAATACATGTCAAGCATAAATATACATGACTTAAAATAAAGTGGTGACCAATTTGCACACTGCTTTGTAACTCTTTTTGTTTTAAAATACGCAATGCTCATTTTTACTATTCCACTGGATGAAACACTTCTGCTGAAAGAGAGTCATTTCTTTGGTCAGAGTAAAATATTCAAGTAGAATTTAGCAACACTAAGGGGTTTGAAAGGATAGATCCAACAAAGTTGCATTAAGAAAAAGGCAAAGAGAAAGCAGGAATGAAAAGAATTAACCTGGATGAAAACTTCATGTTTCAAGGTATAGCAAAACTCATCATGGTGATGATGATCACTACAGTTTCTGTTAAGGTGACAGACTGCACCCTAACTTCAGTCCCCTGAGCTTTTGCCTTAAGTGTCATTTCCTTTAGGAATCGTTCATAACATCCTCATGTGCATATATGAATGATCAAATCTTGTTGAATTTAATCTCCTTTTTAGAAACATTTGGGTTTTTTCCCCCATTTAAAAAATCTTTTTCCAGAACTGCAAATATGACCATGAGAGAATTCCAGTACAATAAATCCCTAGAAGAGTAATTGGTATGTCAGAAAGCACATATTGTATAAAGCTGGATACCATTAAACATTCTTATAGATAAGTACTTGCAAATCTCATATATGAATATCTACTACTTTTCAGGAAGATAGATTCACGTGCTCACACTGTAGCATAGTAAGTTAAGTCAGCCTGTAATGCCAGCATCCTATTATGGGTGTTGGTCCAAGCCCTAGCTGTCCCACTTCCAATCCAGCCCCCTGCTAAAGGCGCCTGGGAAACTAGCAGAACATAGTATAAATGTTTGGGACCCAGCTACTCATGTGATAAACGCGGATGAAGCACCTGACTCCAGCCTGGCTAGTCCCAGTTTTTGTGGTCATTTGTGGAAGTGAACCAGTAGATGGAAGGCCTACCTGTCTCTTCACATCTTCCTTTGTAACCCTGCCTCTCAAATAAACAAAATTAAAACAAATTGGGTGGGGAGGGGAGAGAGTCAGTCTCCATTATTTGAAAATGAGTGAGGAAGGCCTTGTGATAGAGCAAAGTATGTCATAATGTGCTTCTTCTAAATTTGCTTGAATAGCAAAGCCATTGCAAATAGGGTTAAGTACCCACCCTAGGAGCAGATGAAACAGGGAAGGAAGAAAGCATAAGACAGGACAGAATGACTAATAAAAAGTTATTGGGACTTGTATTCAGGTAAGATGTCTCCCTTTTTCCCTTCCTCCAGTTAGAGCCTGCCCTTCCTGTGAATTCAGGTCAAGGCCTAATAGCTTTGCTGCCACTTAACCTTTGTTCAAAGAGCCTGAAGAAGGCTTAGCATTTAAGGGTGAATATTCTACCCCTAGCTCTTGGCCTAAGTATGAAGCTGCAAGCATTGTGGTCCACTCTCAGAAGGACAGGTCTGGAGAAACCGAAGTCTTTCATACGAGTGTTCTGTCCAGTAGACCCAAACTATTACATACTGAGTTCCCTAGGGTTTAAACACACATGCTTCCAGAAGATACAATCAGAGGATAGAAAAGCAAGTGAATTATAATGGCATGAGGTAAGGGTTTTGTCCCTTTCCACATGATCCATTGAGGTCTTTATTCTCCTTCACAAGGGTCACTGGCATTTCAAGCAAACCACATGATTGTATCTCCTCTGCTATCTTTTAAATAGTACCTGTAAGAAATATGCAACTTTTGTGACAAATGTGTGACTATTACTCATGACCAAGATGAGGTTGAAAGCTAGCCAATATCTGTTGAAGACTTTGTAGAAACTGAATGCTTTACATCATTGTTACCATTTAGGCTTCCCAGAAAATCAGTTCTGTGAGTTGTATGTCATTAATCCCTACTTTCAGATGAGACAACTGAAGCTCACATTTTATCAGTTGATGAATCTTCAAACATCACACCTTTCTGGCAACAATACAAGGGATCTATTGCCAAACCTGACTTTGTTTTTTAAAATTTATTTTATTTTGTTTTCATTTTTTCTTTATTTTGGACAATCTTTACATAGTTAATTAGGGCATGAAGGTTCAGGGGCTACAGGAAAGTGGGTAAGATTATTTCCACATTTTTTTCCTGTATCTGGGGCAAAGGGGGAGATAAAGGGAGAAGCCCTACACAGTCTCCCACCCATCCCAGGTCCCTGATGTGGGGCATGCTCCCCAAATCTGACTTTGATTCATTTTGAATCCCTTTCCTCCTTTAAAATCTTTTTTTTTCAGATAAAAATCACAATAGAAATTATAATAGCCAATACTTTAAAGCAATTAGTATATACTAGGTACTTATGCAAATACTTGTAAATAATTTTGTCTTTTTTATATAAATCCTCTTTTTTTTTAAATGAGTTATGTCTGGAAGAATTTTTTAAATATTTATTTATTTTCATTGGAAAGTCAGATTTATACAGTGAAGGACAGAAAGAAATATTTTCCACGCCGGGCCACTCTTTGTCTATTCTCAATATAGAAAAAGGTAAAAGTTGCTTTAAGAAAAGAATACAGAAGTATTCAAAATGAAGTTTAAAAATGCACTGAAAAAAATCTCACTTCTGGAACAGGGTGCCTTTCTCCTCCCTCTGCCCACCCCTCTCCTTTCCAGGACAGCTAGCTAAGAAGCAGACTGCAAATGAAATGGAGGCTGGGGAGGGACAATGAATGGAGGGTTAGTTATTCTGGAGCTGAAGACAGCGAGAGATAGTTGTTGAAAGAATTAGAAAAGTTCAGCATTTTCCGAAAAAAAGACTCAGCCGGTTTCTGGTCACCAAAGAATGGCACATAACATTTTCCTCTTTGGGAGAGGCAACAGAAAAGACTGACAGGACCAAATGCAAGAGAAGGGAAAGGGAGACGAATGGGGAGACGAATGATTGGAGGCGGGGGGGGGGGGGGGAAGGCCCGGTTCTGCCGCGCTTTTGGTGGGAGTGGAAATTGGGGACGCGAGCTCACTGGTGACGTAGCTCTCATGTGACCAGGAGTCGACGTGTGCAGAAGTGCTACTAGTCCAGTCCTTGTTCCCGTCTGGGTACCAGCTTCCTTCTGCAGTGCAGCCAGCGGTGTTGGAGGCCAGCGGAAAAAGGAGTCAATTTGGCGGGATTTTGCAGGTAAGTGTCCCTGTGGATGTTGCCAGGGGGGAGTTCTAGGGTGAGACCTCGACTTCCGCGAGTCCTAGTCAAGTTTCCTATCCACCTCTCCCGCCCTCCTCTCCAACGCCTAGTTAGGAGAAATGATGACCCCCGGGGAAACAAACCAGGGGGTCCCGGGAGAAGGCCCAGAAGACTAGCATCTCACAAGCTTTTCCAGACACCCAGTCTTCCCCAAATCCTGTCTCAGTGTGCGAGAGTTTGCAAACAGTCTGCCTTTTTCCACTCCCTGTCTAATGCGAAAGACGAGCTTAACTTACACCGCGCTAGAGGCAAAGAATTAATGGAAACAATAGATGCCAAACTTTGCACCGAGATCCTGGACTGGGAAAGCGGCGGCGCGTGTCCAGTCTCTCGCAGCCGATCTGCCAGGCGAGCGCCTGCCCCACCCCCATCGTCTCCTCCCGTATCTGGTTTGTCTGCAGGTCTGTTGTTCTCTGAGCAGCCCGAGACCAGGGAAGGAGAAGGAAGGAACTGAGCCGACCGGTACTCGGTGAGTGAGAGACTTTGGGGGTGGGAGTGGGCAGAAACGGGACCGAGATTGCAGGCCCCACTGTTTCTCCCTCTTCCCCCACCCCTTCCCATGGCGGGCTCTCTCTTTTGCTCGATGGTTCTGGGAGGACTCTGTGGGGGAGAAACGGTTGGGGGAGGGCCTGGAGGCCAGACGGGTGGGAGAAGAGAGAGGTGAGGAGGTGGAAAGAGGAGGCAAGTGAGGCGGGGATTGGGAGGCCCTGGTGGCTGAGCCGGGGGGGGGGGGGGGGGGGGGGAGGTTTCTTACTTGCAAAATACTTGGTGACAACTCCCAATCCAGAGGAGCAAATGCTGAGACCTCTCTCCAGAGTTCCTGCCCACTGCCTTAGCCTTTGACCTTCTCCCTGCTTGCTTCCTAGAAATCAGCAAGAAAAAAGAAGACAGGAAAGGAAAGAAGAAAGACAGAGAAAAACAAGATGAAACCCTGCCAAAAAATGGAAGGAAACCCAGAAAGTGAGAGTGAACCAAAGCTTGAGGAAGAGCCAAAGCCCGAGGAAAAGCCAGATGAGGAAGAGCCTGTGGAGCTGGAAAAAGCCGAGGAAAGTTTCAGAGAAAGATTGATTCAATCTCTCCAGGAATTTAAAGAAGACATACACAACAGGCATCTGAGCCGTGAGGATATGTTTAGAGAGGTGGATGAAGTAGATGAGATAAGGAGAGTAAGAAACAAACTTGTAGTGATGCGTTGGAAGGTTAACCGAAACCATCCTTATCCCTATTTAATGTAGTTTACCTGGATTCTTATCTGAGGTTAACATTGCCATACTGCGTTCTTTTTTGCTAGCATTTTCCTGATGTATCTTTGCCCATCTTCCCACTTTTAACTTGTTGCTCTTAGTGATTTTCAGATGCATCTCTTGTTATCTGCATTTCATTGTTTCTCATATTTTGAAACATTTTGTACATCTCTTTTAATATGTGAGCTTTACTCATTTGTAAAAAAAAAAAAAAGTTCCTGATAAAAAACAAGATGGAGAAGGTTGCTAAGTCATATACGAAGATCATATTTTTGAAGAGTATACTTGTAAATCACATATATGCACACAAAAACTTGCAAATGAAAGCATAAAGTACAATGTCTTAATGGTGAGATTCAGATTTTTTTCTTCTGCTTGTTTGTATTTTTCATTTTCCTAAAATGAATCTGCATTTTCATTGCTAAAAATAATAATAAAGGCCTTACAACAATAAAGGAGTGTTTATTTCCAAAGTGTTGGGGCAGATACTCATTCGCAAAAATTTTTTTCGTTGGCAAAATTTTAAAAGCCAGTGTGAACTTGGCTAGAATAAATGCACATCTTTTCTTATATGTAAAATCAAGATTATCATCACACAGAGATCTTGCAGGAGCCAATTAAAGTAGTTCTTCTGGCTGTGCTTGACAGGGTTTACCCAGGAGGGCTATAACTCACAAGAGATCCATTTCAGCTATTTTCAAGAGTGAATCAAAGTGTTCTCATTTGTGCTTGAGAACAAGTTCAGAAAACAATCAGATAGGCACTTTTTTTTTTTTTAATATTCCTTTCCAACAGTGCCTGCCTACCGCCCACCCCTTGCCATTGATAAAATATGCATCCTGGATTTTCTTTCCCTTCTACCAGGTCCTGCACCTAACTCTGTAAACAAACAGCACACCCTGTGGGCTGATTTCCCATACTGACCTCTATACAAATGCGGAGATTGTTTATCTTTTTTTAAAATTTTGTTTTTTAATTTTGTTTTTGATGGTGTTTACATGGTTGATCAGGGTGGGAAGGGTCAAGGTTCAGGGAAAAGTGGGCAAGACCATTGTTTACACATTTTCTTCTCCATGTATCTGGGGAGGGGAGGATACAATGGAAGAGACCATGCCAAGCCTACCCAGTTCCTGATGTCATCCCAGGGTCCCTGAAGTGCAGCATGTTCTGAGGGTTCCTCTCAAGTTGTTTTGATAGTTCTGAAATGCTGTTGGTATCGCAGCTCCGAGGATGACAAATCCTTCCAAGGTCATTTAGCAGACATAGTCCACCTCAGAATCTCCATTTGCCCGTAAATTTGCTGTCAAGTTTTACTGGGGTTCTGCCCTCCTTCCTCTGCAAACCAGTGGGTGCTGCGGCCCAGCCCAGCCCTGCCCACCACATGCTTGGCCCTCATGTACACTATTAGGAGCTGCAGCCCAGTCAGAGCGATCCTAAGTAACCCCCACTGGACCAGCACCCAGCTCTGTTTCCTGTGCCTGCCAGGTCTGTCCCACATCCCATTCAGCTTTCATACAGGTCATTGGGCCCTGAGGCTTAACTCAACCAAATTCCACCCTCAGGCCCACACTCATGCCAGTGGTTGCCACTTCCTGTCCAGCCAGGCCCATTCCCAGTCCTGGTTCTCATGCTCACCAGTGGGAGTTGCAGCCCATCAGAGAGGTGCCCACAGCCTCCCAATGAATCCATTCCCTGCCCCTGCTCATCTCTTTAATTTAGAAACATATTCAGTGCCACAATGTTTCAGCAATCACTAGACATGATGGGGATGGACAAGATGTCAGAAACACACTATTCCTTAGTCAGAATCATTGCTCTGTGTCTGAAGATGATAATTTTGTTTTCCTGATTCCCATTTCCTTAGGGTGAGTGATTTCTCTGAAAAGACTGCTGGCAGGCCCTCCCTATCTATCCAACAGATACCTCTAGGCTTTGTAAGTTTTAAAGGGACATACAGGCTAGATTTGAGGATACTCTTATTTCTGGGTGTAAATATATGAAAGTGTTATGTAAGATTTATTGTGTACTACATCTGCATCCCAGTGTTTACATATTTACAAATGTATACATGGCTAAAACTGTGCCATTCAAATGTTTTCCTCTATGATATGCTTTTGGGGGAATTCATATCTTTATTGCTAAGGATTTCAACAGGCTCATACGTGTTGGTCTGTCTGGAATTTTGGATGGAATGTTGTAGACGTTTCAGGGATTACTATGCATTTCTCAAGACAGGGTGAATCCACCTTCCCTTGCACCCAGGCAGGAAATGGAAGAGATCACCCTCAGGCTGCAGCAAGGACCAGACCTGCTGGAGCTGGACCAGCTAGAGCTGCTTTTTTCTCTGTCTCAACCTGAGGCAGGCACAAGACCCCAGCTGGACTGCCCTAGACACACACATTGTGGAGAAGACAATTGTCTCCTTTGTAGTTAGAAATGCTGAACTTACTTTCCCCTTTTGTTTTTCACAAGGGTCTTGATGAAAGCTTTGCAAAAAGTTCTTTATTTACTTCAGAAGCAGCTATGGAGAGATAGAGAGCTTCTGTCTGCTTGTTCACTCCCCAAGTGACTTCAATGACTTGGGCTGGGCCAAGCCAAAAACAGGAGCTAGGTACTCCATCTAAATTTCCCATGTGGGGGCAGGGGACCAAATGTTTGGGCTATCTTCCATTGACTCCACAGGTATGTTACCAGGAAGCTGGATTGGAAGCAGAGCAGCTGAGACTTGAATTGTTGCTCTTTTTGGATGTTGGTATCACAGGTGGTGGTTTACAATGCTTTGCTACAACCCTGGCACCATGGATGAAAACCTTTTATAATGGAGAAGATAAAAACTAACATAAAATATTGTTTGTGACAGTCTTTTTCTGAGATATTAGTACTCCAGATATAGATAATTTAAAGTGAAAGCAGAAAAGTCTAATGGTAGGGGGAAGTGATTTCAAAAAATATACAAATATTTCATTTTAACGATTCGTTTGTTTGTATAAAAGTCAAAGAGAGAGAGAGATCTTCTTCTGTCTGCTGATTCACTCACCAAATGGTTGCAGTAGTCATAGACAGGGCTGGGCCAGACTGAAGCCGGGAACCAGGAACTCCATGGTGGGTGGCAAGGTCTCAAGCACTTGAGTATTTACTGCCACCTCTCAGAAGTGCATTAATAGTAACCTGGAACTAGAACCACAGCCAGAACTCAAACCCAGCACTCCTGAATGGAATGTGGGCATCCGTTGCAGCATCATAAATGTGGCAGCAAACAGCAATCCCTTGCTTTCACTAATACAAGATTCTTGTTTGACAGTTTTCTTTTTTGAGCACTTTCATTAGATATTCTACTCTCCTATTGCTTATGTTTTGCTAAGGAACCAGGTATTGATATTTTTGGGTTTCTGTAAATGTGAAGAGTCATTTAGTTCTTGATATGTCCTTGTTTTCTCGTTTTGATTCCCCATCATTCTCACTGTGATGAATTTGTGAATATTTTTGTGATTATCAAATTTAAAGTTTATTGATCTTCTTTGATGTCTTAGTTCTGGTTTCTGTTGTTGTTATACTTGGGATATTTTTAGCTATTATTTACTTGAATTTTTTACATCTCCTTCCTCTCCTCATTTTGTTAATTTCTTTACATGTATAATGGCTTACTTCATGATATTATATAATTCTCTGAGGTTCTGATCATATTTTTAAAGTTTTTTTTTCCACTCCCTCAGTGGTCTCAAAGGCCTGTGCTATGCCAGACTGAAGACAAAATGCCATCCAGGTCTCTCAAAACAGTTACAGGGGCTCAAACACTGGGTGTCTTCTCAGGAGCATTATCTGAGAGCTGGCTTGATTATGAACAACCTGGATTAGTAATTGCATTGCTGTACCACAATAAACGCAGCCCCCCTCCCATGCTATTTTTCAGCTTTTTTTTCTGTCTATACTTTGGATTGCATAATTATCAATCTGTATTCTAGTTCGTTAATTCTTCTGTCAATTCTCATTTTTTGGCTTTAATATTGGCTTTTCAATTCGAGAATTCCCATGTGATTCTTTTCTTAACAGTTTATGTCTTCATTGATCTTTGTCATTACACCTTTCTATACTTCTTTAATCATGTTTAGCCTTTAGTTCTTGAAACATTTATAATGGTTGGTTTGAAGCTTTTTCCAACCTGGTCATTGTCACAGGCGATTTATGTTGTCTGTTCTTATTTTCCAGTGTGAGGGTCATTGTTTTCTATTTTTTTGCATATCTGTAATGTTTCTGGAAACCAGATGTTTTAGATAATATGAAAACCCCCTTCATATCACAATATTGTTATTTGCCTATTTGTTTCTTTTGTGATTGGCTAGATGATTTTAGTGAAATTCACTCCCTTCCCTTTAGCACTAAAATCTCTGCTGTCCCTCCACAGGAGGTAAGTCTTTTAGTATGCCTGCAGTCATGTTAAGATGACAATTTTTTTTGAAAGAGCATTCTTAGCCTAGTTTTCTAACCATTCTCAAATCTTAGCCTTATCTGATTGCTGGGTGCTTGGTCTATTATTTGCAATAATGGCCAGTGATTGCTCTTAATATCAATTAAATTAAATATAGGCCCCAAAGTGACTGTTTCCAAGGTTATTGTTTGATATATGTTTGACTCCAGGAGGACTATTCCCAGCCATCTTCTTCTCTGGCTCTCCATCAGTCTAGCCAGACAGCAATTCAACAAACCAATGAATCACTTCCCAATTGCCTCCACCACAATATCCAATGCTTTAAGTGCACACTTGGTTTGGACTTCCATTGCAAAATGAAGTAGGTTGTAGTGGAAGGTATTACAAGACGTTTCTCTTTTTAGGCAAGAATCTGTGACTCAGGGATCTGGATCTGTATGTAAGAACAAAACCACTCTTCTCTGTGAATGACACTTGATATCTCAGTGGAGAAGTGAACAGCAACTTAAGGCCCTTTGAACTAACTTCTCATATTTTAGAGCAACATCTTCCAAGCCCAGGGAAAGAATGCTTAGGGCCCTGGAATTTTCATCTATACCATGTCCATGAGGCCAACATTGTGGCACTTCAGTTTAAGCCACCACCTCTGATGTTGGCAAGGCCAGGTTGGGCTGTAGCATCCATTGATGTATATGTGAGTTGGGTTTATGAATAAATTCTAACAATCAGCCTCTACCCATCAGAGTGGCTAGAGAGAAGACGAGAGACCCTACCTGTCGAATGTGTTCTCCTCATCCAAAATTCAGTTAGCTCCAGCAATAAATTATTGGAGGATAGGATGAAAAATGGTCCCAACCTGCTATTTCCATGAGGAAAGCTTTTAACTGGAAGCTGCAAACAGAGGGTTCTCTGTGTTCTTCACTGCCAATTAGGAGTCCAGTTCAAGCCTCCCTAAGTGGGGAACAGAGTTGGAGAAGCCAAGGTATTAATGCCATGTTCATCTTTCCTATGATGTTTCACAG